ATTTATTTGTATAAATTATCTACAGTGGAAACATTACCCAGTAATAAATTCTTCACATTAACTGTCTTGTTTTCATTTTAAAAATCTCAATTGATTATCTTGTAGCACTGTTTCCTTTCAATATTGTAGCATTTGTTGTCTCATCCTGAGGCATAAACCTTACAGCATCTGAGCACTTGATTCCCAGTCACATGTGAATCACAGCATCAAGATCCAAGTTCTTAAACAACAGGGAGCCATGCTGACATGGTAGTGAAGCGCTTAGCTGCAAACTGAAGGGTCAGCAGTTCAAACCCACCCAGTGGTTCTGCAGAAGAACCTGGTCATGTACTTCCATAAAGATGACAGCCTAGGAAGCCCTGTGGGGCGGTTCTATGGGAATCAACTCAATGGCAGCAGTTTGGCTTTGCCTTTTAGACACAGGCAAACTACCCTGCTTGCCGTGCAGAAAACAAACCCAGTTTCATTGCTGTGCATCCGATTCAGACTCACAGAAACCCTCTAGGCCATAACAGAAATGTCCTATAGGATTTCTGAGGCTGGAGATAATTAAGGGAACAGTAAGTCTCATCTTTCTCCTGCTGAGCAGCTGGTGGGTCTGAACCACCCACCTTGCAGTCAGGAAATCAACACTTAACTCACTACACTGCCGTGGCAGTGGGGATGGAGCCGATGGTGGTGCAAACAGTTAATGCATTTGGCTGCTAATTGAAAGGTACCTCAGAAGAAAGGCCTGGTGATCTACTGCTGAGTAATTATTCCTTGAGTACTCTAACACACGGGGTGGGGGGGGAACCCATCATGAGTTGGCATTGACTCGATGGAAACTGGTGTCTGATATAAAAATATCCCCACCTACCATTTAATTAGTCATCCTAGTGTGGTGCTGTGGGATAAAGCCTGGACCGCAAGCTTGGTTTGAACTGTAAGTTGGTGGTTCAAACTCAAGAGCCATTCCTTGGAAACTCTATACATGGTCACTATGGGCCGAAACCATTTTGATGGCAATTAACAACAACAACAAAACCATTTAAATAAGGAGCTCTGGCATAGTGGCATAGTGGATTACGTGATGGACTGCTAACCATAAGGTCACCAGTTCAAACCCACCAGCTGCTCCGCTGGAGAAAGATGGGGCTCTATGAATCAGAATTGACTCGATGGCATACAACTACCACCACTACCACTTTGTTGCCTAAGACACAGCTTGTTGTTGTTACGTGTCATTGAGTCGGTTCTGACCCTTAGCAACCCTGTATAGGATTTCCAAGGAGTGACTGGTGAGTTTGAACCACTGACCTTGCAGTCAGGTGCTTATCCTATAGCGCCACACCAGGACTCCAAGACACAGGTTAGGGCCTTGTGTTAGTTAAGGTTTTGTGTCAACTTGACTGGGTCAGGATGTTCAGTGGTTTGGCAGATGACATGCAGCTACCTTGCATAGTAATATAATATCATCATAAATATAGAATACAATCCAATGTAATCAACTCTACGATGAGTTCTGCTTGGAGCAGCCAGTCAATCAAAAGGAAGCTTCCTCAGGGGCACTGGCCACTCAGGCATGGCTTGTTCACTTCCTGCTTGGTCTGGATCCTGCATCTGGTTTGTCCTCCGACCTCCGATTCTTGGACTTGAGCTAGTGGCCTGCTCTCTTACCTTTTGGTCCTGGGAGCCATTAGCACTTTCTGAACTGACACACCTGCTTACCTGTCATCTGACAGAAACCACCATCCTGACATCTGGCTGAGGACACGGAACTGACCACCTCTATCGCTGTGAGTCATTTCCTCGATACTGACCTCTCTTTACATACATGTATAATGGTCACTGGTTTTGCTTCTACAGAACCCAGCCTAAGACTGGCCCTCCCAGGTTAGTGAATGTTTGTTTGTAAAAGTACATTTTGGAGAGGGTATTGGTTACTGTAATGAGGAATCAAGCTCCCAATAATCTGTCTTAGCAAGAAATTTCCTTCTGATATAGGCTCTCCACTTAGGGGTGGGGGCATGCAAATCAACATGTCATTAGTAGGAAATATGAAATGCTTAATGTATAGAAATTTATTTGCCTTGGCAAATTATTTATGTACAACTGATGACTGATACCAACAACTGAGGTCCAAATCTGCATGAGGTATAATTATATAAAATGCATTACTTTATTTCCATTGGCAAGATAACAGAGTAAAATACAGTGGGATTTGACAAACAAGCTTGATGCATACTTTTGCCCCTTTCTTTCCTTTCCATTTTTTAAAAAAATAAAAGATATGCTGCATTGTTGCACAGCAGTTACATGATTAGTATGTGCACAGAGCAGCTCAGGTGATTGAAGAGAAGAGGGTTCTGAAACAGGCAGATTTGTCCTTATATGTCCTGGAGTCCCTCCTACTCAAAGTGTGGTCCACAGAGCAGCAGCAGGGAACTCCTGAGCCTCGAAGGACATGCAGAAGCTCAGACCTACCTGAGTCCGCATTTCACCAAGATAATGACTAATCAGTCCGTGCATACCTCCTTATAGGAGCTACCACACTCCTCACCCATCTGACGTTTCCCCAGATCCTCATTTCTGGGGCAGGACCAGGTTAAACACTGCTAACAAACTTCAGTGTGTAAATTACAGAAACAACAGCGATGATGGTTACGTGTAAAATATAGTTGTTGTTAACAAGTGCTGTTGAGTTGGTTCTGACTCATAGTGACCCCATATAGGGTTTCTGAGGAGCAGCTGGTGGGTTTGAACTGCTGACCTTGTGGTTTGCAGTCCAAGTGCTGATCCTACAGCTCAATCCCAGGAATCTGTATATGTAAAATGCAAGGGCAGAAGTAAACTTAGTTTGCTCAAGAGTATTGCCTGGAAGGTAAATGATGGGTCTACGCTGGTCGGCATGGAAATAAAAAACTCTAGGTCATAATTAAAACCGTGCGACTTTCTTTGCATCACGCTGAACTCATAGGTAGCATTTTTATTCCTTTCAAGAGAACAATTGCACATGGCTGATATGAAAAAAAAAACACACAACAAAAAACATAAATGCATATAATAAAAGAAGGGAAAACAGTCATTCCAGATTTTCTCTCTTCTTCCCCCCTCCAACACGAATTGCTAAATTATATCAGTCTCTGTAAGGAGCTATGAAAACAAAAGCAAAAACAAAAAACAAAAACCCTTTCCCTGAATCCAAATACAATAATTTACCTTTTTCTTTACAGCTGGTCAATTATTATAATAATAAAATAACACAATGTCTGTCCATCAGCAATTGGTTAAGGAGAATCAATTTGCTTCGTCTGTACAGTAATAAATAAGGCTGGGTCAAGTATGGCGAACCCAAGCTAGCTAACGAAAAAACGTGGAATTAATAAACTTACTTATTTTTTCTAAATCTAATTTAAAAACATAGCTTTGGTCTTAGGTAAACTGTAAAGCCTGTCTCTCAGCTGGCAAGACTTTAATGCATGATGGGAGGATAAGTCAAAAAGCATTGCTACTAGGGTTCCAGTTCATACATGCGCAGTCTGTCCTAACAATGTCACTGGGAAACCTGACCCCATCCACTCGAGAGCCCTGATTTTACTCCTTCAGAATTCTTTTTGTTTCCCAAACTCAAAGAATATTGAAAAGAAACAAAGCTTGAATCCCTTGAGGTTACCCCAAATTGCCCTTTTGCCGTGGTATAAATCACACAGTGCAGAATTCTTTGAGGAAGGGCTAGAGAGATGGAAACACCACCTTCAGAAGCTTACAGACCTAGATGGAGGCTACGCTGAGAAACAACAGCTTCACATTTTGATATTTCTGCTTAATAAGGGTTGCTATGCTTCTGTGGTTATGAATCGGGCTATGGGCCGCAAGGTCAGCAGTTCAAAACTACCAGCTGTTCCATGGGAGAAAGAGGAGGCTTTCTGCTCTCATAAAGATTTACAGCCTCAGAAACCCTGTACAGGGTCGCTATGAGTCGGAACCAACTCCACAACATATAACAACAACAACGCTTTTGTAGCAATACTTTTTGACTGACCCATGTATTTTGAAAGCATCTTCTGTAGTAAAATGTGAATTGCCTGAAAGGAGAAATACTGAGTCCTGGAGACCTTCATCTCGCTTTACTTTTATCCAGAGTTGGAGTCAGTGTAATCCACTGACAAGAAAATGCCAACTAACTGAGACCAAATGGACCACTGGTCAAACAGAATCCCAGTTAGAACACTAAGAAAGGCGTCCATGAAGACTTTAGAAAACATGGCGGTGCTGTTGGCTGTGACAGTCTGCTCTCAATCTTGGGGGAAATATGGAATCTATTTCAGTTCCTGGCTCTGAAAACTGCATCAGGCTGGGCCCAGTGCTAAACTGTGGTCCAGTCTTAACTTGGGGCGTGACCTGTCACCCTCGGCTTTGCTTTAAGATAAAGCGATGCTCCTTCCCTCTCAGTACCCACGGACACCTCTGAGTGATAGTTTTCTTTGGTTAGCGGATCTTTGGTTAGACATTCGGGAGGGTGGATAGATGGTGTCCTCACACGTTGATGTGAGCTTCTATGACAGCTGGGAGGCGATGGGAAGGGCTATGTGAAGGCACTGGCTCACTGAATAGGATGCACAACTTTTCAAAGCACTCAACTCTGTATAAAATCGGTATTTCACATATATACAGTAAAGACAGCAGTATAACACATATGTACATATGCTATACATACATTTATTTACAGATAGGAATATGCTTCTTGGAAGCCCTTAAATAGCAAATTAGGCAATGCACAAGGAATAATCCATTTAATTTTAAGTAACATAGATAAATGCTCTGATTTTTTAAAAAAAATATTATATTAGTAGGGCAGTAGCCATCCCCAGGAAGGCCGTGAATAGTTCTCACAGACTCGTGCATCTCCAACAGCCCCACCTGGCAGGGCCTCTGCCTTCGACGTGAACCACACCTGCGGGTCTCTCTGTCTCCCACACACATGTCCCTGAGCTTGATGTCACACTTGGGGGGAAATCTCAGATTTTCGTTTCTGGGCCTTCTGCGATGAGGGGTTGGAACGAATTCCTGATCCTGACCACTTCTGCTGTGCACATATGTCCAAAGCCCTTGTTGTACCACTCTGGGGAGTGGCCCCTGTGGGGAGAAAAAGCAGGAAGGAGGTGGGAAGGTTTTCTCCACATCAGAACGAGCTCTCCTGGCACACAAGGGCTGTCCTTGGGCCCTGGTGTCTGGTACATGTGCAAATAGCTTGGGCATGCTGACTGCCACAGAGGTCTGAGGGCCCCATTCTGCTATCAGCTCTCATGTTTTGGCTGCTAAGGGTTTACTGTGACTCTCCAGTGATTATCAGGTGTTCTCCAATGATACCAGCATCTCACGAGAAAGGAGAACCTTCAGAAAGAAGGAAGAATTTATGGAGAATAAAACCAGTTCATAGCTACACAGACCGAGTCTTTGGCTCAGCCTAATGAGGGTCTCTAAAGCACTGGGTTTAAAGTGCATTTCTTCTTGACTGAGGCAGTGGAGAGACCGGCAAAGGTAGACAGGCATCAAAGAAACAGGAGAGAAGGAAATTCACATTACTGAGCATCTACTAAGAGACAGGTTAATAAACCCGGTGGATTTGGGTGGCATCTGGTGGCACAGTGAGTAAGCACTCAGATGCTAAGTGATAAGTGGATGATTTGAATCTACCAGCCACTCCACGGGAGAAATTGGAAGCTGTCAGCTCCTGTAAAGATTTATAGCCTTGGAAACGCCAGGGAGCAGTTTAACTGTCCTGTACGAGTTGGAATCAACTTCACAGCAGTGGGGTTCATTCGTTTGTTTTCTGTGGGAGGGGGTATCATATACCAATGCTAGTACTTACTCCCAGGTAAGCAATGCCAAACGTTAAGTGGAAACAAAAATAATAAGAAACCAGCTGTGTGGCTTCGATTCCCACTCATGGTGATACTGCACATGGCAGAGAAGCTCCCTAAAGTTCTCAAAGGGTGTGATCTTTTGGAAGCCAGTTGCCAGATCTTTCTTCTGAGGTACCTCTGGTTGGACTTCAGCCATTGACCTTTTATTTTTGGTTAATGACCAAGCCTGCGTGAACAGGGGCTTCTAAAGTGAATACAGAAAAGATCCAAGGACTGGAGGGGAAAAGCCTGGGGGAGGGGGAAGTAAAATGAGATGCAGAATGAGGGGTGCAGTGGGTCCCCACTCTGTGTACACAAGTGCACCATGCCTCCATGTGTGAGTGCGTGTGCACGTATGGTGGGCGCGCACTGCATTCCAGTCTCCTGAGGGGTCCTGGGGGAGTGGACCACTCCTTGAGGCTGGGCCTCGAGCTGTCGGGGATCGAGGGCCTTGCTTGTGTTGGCCAGCAGGCCTGTTGGATCACGGAGAGATAAGATGTTGCGATTCTGTGTTGGAACGTGGGTCATGAGGGTGCGTGGCCAGGCTGTGGGCACTGACCGGAGCCACCCGGCTTGCGTTCACCCCGATCAGCCAATGCCGAGGAAGAGCAGGATGTGAGATAGAAACAAGGGTGCTTCTGTGTGTGCTGGGAATATGATCTCTCCAGAATTCCTAACTAAAGAAGTCCATAACCCACCCAAAACAAGCCCACTACTGTCGAGTGGATTCCGACTCCTAACGCTCCTATAGGGTACAGCAGAACCGCCCCGGAGGGTTTCTGAGACTGAAAGTCTTTACAGGAGCAGACAGCCTCAGTTTGCTTCTGCAGAGTGGCTGGTGGGTTTGAACCGCAGACCTTGTGGTTAGCAGCCCAATCAATGCCTGACCCACAGCACCACCAGGTCTCCTTAAATAAGCCACAAAGTTCTTACTGAAACCAACCAGAAGTGGGGGATGGGAAGTAGGCCCCACACACGTACCTGAGGTCCACCCTGCAGATGTGGGTCAGTCGGGACTTCCCGGAACCACAGGGTTCTATGAGGTACTGAGAGTCCAAGACGACGGCACGCACACCGCCCATAGGCTGGGCCTCCTCGTGCTCCACCGAGGTGGACACCAGTGCGCATGTGCCTTTGGGCAAATCCGTCCTCCATGTCCTGCGGGCGGGGGTGGGGGGAGACAGCCACATAGCAGAGTGAGGCCCAGAGACCCGCGCTCGTTACCTGGATCACAGTGAAGGGTTCCCAAGGTACCCTGGCGGCACAGTGGTGAAACGTTCTGCTGCAAACTGAAAGGTCGGTGGTCTGAAACCACCAGCAGCTCCATGGGAGAAAGACCTGGCGATCCTAAGAATGAGCCCCTCGGAAACACTACAGAGCAGTTCCCCTCTCTCCTGGGAACTCCGTGAGTTGTAACTGAATGGTCAGCAATAGTTATGTTTTGGTCTGGTTTGGAATGGTTTCTATGGCTACACTGAGGCTGCCAATAACATGTCCGGCTGTTTTTCAAATGTTTGGGCGTGGTAATCTACTTGCCCAAGCCAGCCATTGCGAACCCTGCAGTTCTGCTCTGACACACCTGGGGGCGCCCTGCGTTGGAATGGACCCAACAGCGCATTTCTACTGTCAGGCTTTTATGTCGTGGAGGGGACATCCCCTATCCCTGCCGTCTGGGACTAAACTCAGGCATCGATCAGAAGCGACCCGGCAAACCGAGTTTCCAGTCCACTGTAGTTCCATGTGAGCATTTGTGTTGACACCACCCCAGTCTGCTGAGTAATAGGATCGCCGCTGGGATGGGGTGTGGGGATGAACGGCAGGTAGTCTTGGGCCTGCGTTTTGAGGAAATGAGCACTATTTGTAGCCCAGTAGGCTGTGTGCACCACTGCGAGGGGTCCAGGGGAGAGCCCGGGCACAATGCAGTCCACGACAGATCTCACTGGGGAAATGGCCCCAGTAGCCATCTCTCAAAGCCAAGCAGCAAGCCAAACCAGTGCCACCACCGAGTCACAGCGACTCTGGAGAACAGAGGAGAGCTGCCTTCTAGCGTTCCCAGGAGTCTGGTGTGGCTCTGGGTTAATGCGCTGGACTGCAAGATTGGGTTGAACCACGAAGTGGGCGGCTCAAACTCACCAGCTGCTCCTCAGAAACCCTATGATGGGTTGCTATGGGTCAGAACCGATGTGAAGGCATTCAACTACAGACTTTCTAAGGCTGCCATTTACAGAAATCGACTGGCTCATTCTCCTGTGGAGAGGCTGGCGGGTTGGAGCACTTAACCTCTGTGCTATTGTTGAGTGCCATCAAGTCAGTTCCCACTCATAGTGACCCTGTATGGGGTTTCCAAGGCACAGCAGTGGGATTGAACTGCCGACCTTGTGGTTCGAAGTCTGGTGCTGTTCCTACGGCGCCACACCAGGAATCCGAGGGCTCTACTATATAACACGAACCACACCATTCCCACCCTGCAGGACAGAGGGTTTCTGAGGCTGTCAACTTTTACAGAGTAGACAGCCTCCTCTTTCTCCCATGGAGTGGCTGGTGGATTAGAACTGTCCACCTTCTGGTTAGTAGCCAAATGCTTAACCACTGTGCCACCAGGGCTCCGATACAGAGAAATTGTTGTTGTTAAGGACCATCAAGTCAGTTCTGACTCATAGTAACCTTGTATAGAGTTTCCGAGGACTGGACTGGTGGGTTTGAACAGCTGATCTTGCATTTAGTAGTCTGGTGCTTATCCTATAGTGCCACACCAGGGCTCTAATGGATACATGTTGTTGTTGTTGTGAAGTGACACCAAGTCAGTTTTCAACCCATACCAACCCTGTATAAGCGTTTCTGAGGAGTGGCTGATGAGCTTGAACCGCCGACCTTTCTGTTCAAACTGACTTTGAAGTCCTGCGCATTAACCTACAATGCCATGCCAGGACTCCATAGAAACATCAATATATAAATCTATAAACCCCAAACCAAATGCACTGCCATCGAGTCCGTTCTGATGCACAGAGACCGTGTAGGACAGAGAGGAACTGCCCCACGGGGTCTCCAAGACTGTCTTTCTTCCAAGGAGTGGCTGGTGGCTTCCAACTACTGACATTTCAGTTAGCAGCGAGGGCTTAACCCACTGTGCTACCACCCACCTTTACCTCCCATCCACTGTATTGAGTCCGTTCTGACGCACAGAGACCATGTAGGACACAGAAGAACTGCCCCAGAGGGTCTCCAGGACTGTCTTTACAGGAGCGGACAGCCAGCTCTTTCTCCCGCACCCCCCGTGGGGTCTGCGTTTGGGTGGGGCAGGCTCACCTGAGGACCAGGAAATCCCTGGAAGGATGGGGGGCCATGCTGTGCAGCACATACTGGTAGACTTCCGTGTGCTTGTCCAGTGCTTCTACCACCTTCCACTGCATGAAGTCCTCGTCCCATAGGTGCCGTTCCCTCAGCACGCGGTTCAGGACCACGGACGGTGGGGCTTCCACCTCCACCGACACTTTCCACAGCCTCAGTGGCTGCCCATCACCCACCTGGGAGGGACACGGGCCGAGAGCTGGTTAGAGGTCACCGGTACTCAAAGAACAGGCAGCGCTGTCACCTGAAGTCGCGGCTCTGCTGGCCTGCGGCCCTCGGTGTCACAATGCGAGTGCTCCCCACACAGCCCTTCCTGTGCGCTTCTAAACGGCCTTCTCAGACAGTGGGGAGTCCCGGGCGGGTGCAAACAGTTAACTGGCTCAGCTGCTAACTAAAAAGTGTGAGGTTGGAGTTCACTCCGAGGCTCCTGGGAAAAAAGCTCTGGCAATCTACTGCTGAAGAATCAGATCTTGGAGGTTTGAGTCCACTGAGTGGTACCCTGGAAGAAAGTCCTGGCCATTTACCCCCAAACAATCAGTCACTGGGACCCCACGGAGCACAGTTCTACTGACATATGGGAGCCAAAGTCGGCTCCATGGCATCTCTTTCTCTGACACGTGTTATCCATGTGACATTTTTTCCATAGGGAAGAAATCGCAGACACAGAGAGGCAAGCGAGCTGCCCGCTGTCACACAGTTAAGTGGCGGAAGCAGGGCTGGGGTCCAAGCAGTCTGGCTCCATTTTTGTGATTGGGAAGAGGGTGTTTCAGACTGTAGGCACCTTCTCTGTTCAGGCAGGGACCCTGTACACAGAACTGAATCAAGCCAGTTTCTGCAGGGTCTGTTATGACTCACGATCACCCACATGTCCAGAGCAGAACTGTGCTCCCGAGGGTTTTTACGTCTGTGGCCTTTTGGAAGGTAGTTCCCAACTTACATGTTTGAGTTATGATGAATCGCACTTTAGACCATTTAAAAAAAAAAATGATGTGTGTATGTATTAAAATACGCCTGTGAGTTTCTATGTAATGTTTTCAACCCCCAAAGACAAATGAAGATCAGATTTATAAAGAAACTGATTACCAAAGGCAACAATAATGAAAACTAAACAGAATGAGGCACAGGGAATCCTCCTTTTATCATGCTAAACTTGACAGTCCTTTGTAGAGTTGCGCTTTTTCACAAATGGAATGTTTGTGGCTCCGGGGCAGCGAGCACGTCCGGGGTGCCATGTCCCCAGCAGCGAGCGTGTGGTCACTGGCTACTCTCACTTCCATCATGCCCCAGTCCAGTGTGCGAATGACTTGTACATGTACTCCGAAACCAAAAAGTCTTTGTGGCTCACTGTGTTTAGATGACCGACCAATGGCCGTGGTCTGAAGCCCAGTCGGCAATGCCTCCAAGGTGTGTCTTACATCAGAACTGACTTACAACCAAGCCATTGGAAAGCAACCCACTGTAAGTCAGGAACCATCTTTAGCTATCCAAGTCTTTCTTCCAAGGTGCCAAGGGGTGGGCTTGACCTGCCAACTTTCTGCTTACCAGCGGAGTGCTTAACTGTTTGAACCACCCAGGCCCCACAACCCTACTATCATCAAATTGGTTCTGACTCACAGAACCCCTCTAGAAGAGAGTAGGACTACCCCATGGGGTTTCTGAGGCATGCCGTCCTTATGGGAACACACAGTCTCTTCCTTCTCCCAAGGAGCTGTTGGTCCATCCAAACCACCAACCTTTCAGGTAGTAGGTGAGCGCTTAGCCATTGAGCCACCAGGGCTCTGTGAGTCCCGCACTCCCTGGTGGCTGGAGGAGGTTCTGTGGGGTTACTTCTGTCCAAGTCCCGAGGTTACCTTTTTGAAGGCTAGGTCCGTGTTGTCTATGCTGGGGCAGGTGACCCAGCCCTTGAACTTCTCCTTGGCTTCTTTCTGGAGGCCCTGCACCAGGTGTTCCAGGTATGAGTGGCAGGTGGCCCCACCCTCCTCCAGGTTCCTTCCCAGGTCCTCCAGGGTCGGAGACTGAATCTCAGCCTCCAGATAGGAACTTTGAGATTGGACCACCATCTCGAGAGGCACCTGCAGAGACACCGCAGGGTCACACACTGAGCTGGAGAGAAGCTGTGACCAGCGACCAGAGGAGGCCAACAGCCCAGGGGTGGCCACAGCTTTCATGTTACCAGAGGGGTGGCAGGTGTCTGCTGAGATCCGCGCCCAGGCTGGGGACCCTTCCTAACGACACGAAATACGCGTGTGCTTCTGAAAGCTTCATTTGCAGGGAACTCAATGGGACGGCCTCGTAGATCCGGGTCTCAAAGTTTTCCGTATTTGGCAGTGGGGAGTCTCACGCTCTGTTAGTGGGAAATATTTGGGATCTCCTCCTCTGGCAGCTTCCGGCCTGTCACAGGCTCCTCTCACTGCGTTTCTCAGAACATTGTAATGCCTGGGGGCTCCGGGCCACAGTCTCAGTGGACACCAACGTCAGTGGGCATCAGGTACTCCACGGACAGTGTTCTTTGTCTAGATGCTACTTTAAAAGGTAGCAACGGGGATCTTTAAAGCTCACAAGAGGCCATCTAAGGTACAACCATTGGTCTCTCCCTGTCGGGAGTAAAGAAGATGATGAAAATCAAAGATGCGTGAGAACAGTTGGTCCAGTGGAATGTGCCCTGTGCACATCAATTTCTCTGACCCCGAGACCAGAAGAACCAGAGGGTGCCCAGCTCGTACTGCTGACCTCTCTGAGAGGGATCACTTTAGAAGGTTCTGGATAGAGTGGGAGAAAGCTGTGGAACATGACTCAAAAAAAAAAAAAAAAAGACCAGGATTATTAGTTGGATAGAGACCGGTGGAACCTTGGAGACTGTGGCCCTGAGTCTCCCTGCAGTTCTGGACCTGAACTCACCCCTGGAATCAATTTTCTGCCCAACAACAAACAAGTCTCTAAGGCAACAATAGCATCAGGGAGATAAGCACTCCTTACAATAATCAACAACGGGAGACCAGAAGGGCAGCGCTGACCCAAGGACAGAGGTCAGAAGGGTCAGGAAGGAAGGAGGAGAGGAAACACCGGGAGAAGTGGGGGAGTGATGTTACCCTGTGGGGACTTTAGTCAATGACATGAAACAACCGCGTATGGACAGCTGAATGGAAAATGGACCTGCTCTGTCCACCTTTACCCAATTCACAATAAAAAGAAAAGAAAATGAAACATTGCAGTGACTTCTCATTGCGGCCTCCCACTTGGCTTTCATTTCACTTTGAACACACTTACTGAGTGTGGCAGCACGCGAGTGGACTCACAGCACACAGACTTGTTAACTGGACACTGAACATGACTCTGAAAGAACCTTACCCTCGTAGCGCACTGGGCCTAAGTACTCTCCATTCTTAAATATCTCTGTGGCTAAATTCCTAAGCAAGGAGATCACATTGAGGACTAAGGTACGCCTGACTCAAGTCATGGTATTTCCTCACATGCATGTGAAAGCTGGACAGTGAATAAGGAAGACCATAGAAGAATTGATGCATTTGAGTCATGGTGTTGGAGGAGAACATAAAAAGTACCAAGGTCTTCCAGAAGACACACAGATCAGTGTTGGAAGAAGTGCAGCCAGAGTGCTCCTTAGAAACCAGGATGGCCAGACTTCATTTCTCATATTTCAGACACGTTATCAGGAGGGACCAACCCCTGAAAAGGACATCATACTTGGTCAAGTGGAGCATCAGCGAAAAAGAGGAAGACCCCCAACGAGATGAATTCACACAGTGGCAGCAGCAGTGGGCTCAGGATAACAACAATGGTGAGGATGAAGCACGACCAGGCAGTGTTTCGCTCTGTTGTGCATACGGTTGCTACGAGTTGGAACTGACATGGCACCTAACAACAACAACAAATATCCTTCCGTGGCCATCGGGTCTGAGCCATAAGGATGGTTGGATATTATGCGCACACACAAACACCACATCTAAGCAAGCCCAGGGTGTGATCAGATCCAACGTGATTGGCAGGTTGGCACTGGACCTGGCAACCAAACTTGCCACACTGCTTTCCTGCAAACCATTGTCATGGTAACCCTCTGTGTCATGTGATGTCACACACATCAGGACAAAGACTAGAGCTATCAAGAGTCTTGTCATCAGAGTAGGAACAAACTAAACCCGCACCCAGCAGGAACAAGGTGTGTGTGTGTGTGTGTGTGTGTGGCCACTCACCTGAAACACTTGGTTGCACTCCATGATCATGTGAGCAAGACCCTGGGCGGCTGCCAGGTTCTCGTTCAGGTCCCTTTGATCTGGCTTCCCCGTGGCGTATTTCTTCTGGATGACCCTGTAATGGAGGAATGGGGACTTCACAAGCAGCTTGAAGACCACTGCGCTGCCCAGACTCCAGACTGCCTCACCCCCAGATTCACACAGTGAACACACAGTACAGGCAGTCTGGTAGCCCCAAACTAAAACACTCAGAAGAACACAACTGCTGTCTGTCCGTCTGTCGAAGGCTGGAGCCGCCGAACTGACAGTGTTTTGATCTTAAGTTAAGCCCATCGCTATTGACTGTGTTCTGATTCATCGTGACCCTAAAAAAGCACAACTGTCCCACAGGGTTTCCTAGGCTGTCATCTATTATGTCACTATATACTCGTATATACTCTTATAGATCATCCACTCACAGCGCCCCCTGGTGTAACAGAGGAGAACTGCCCCACAGGGTTTCCTAGGCTGTCATCTATTGTGTCACTATATACTCATATATACTCTTATAGATCATCCACTCACAGCGCCCCCTGGTGTAACAGAGTAGAACTGCTCCACAGGGTTTCCTAGGCTGTTATCTATTGTGTCATTACATACTCATATATACCCTTATAAGGAGCTCTGGTAGCGTAGTGGTTATGAATCGGGCTGTGAACCGCAAGGTCAGCAGTTCGAAACTACCAGCTGTTCCGCGGGAGAAAGATGAGGCTTTCTGCTCCCGTAAAGATTTATAG